AAATTCAAAATATTGTTTCGGACAATTATATGTTCCAAAGTCTCATAAAATTTCTGTTTATATAATCTCTATGTAGCTTAAAATTATTCTACAGAAATAACATCAAATTGAAACATAATGTGTCATAACTTAATTAACTCATTAGAAAATTTGATTGTCTCTTTCATTATTTTGATATTCATTGTCCTTGAACTATTTTCCATACTCTTTCATCTCTTTCTCTCGAATTCACTTTACCTCTTCTTCACATAATAAATTTTTTTATCCAACTTGCCTCTCTACCTTACCAAATAAATGATCCTTTATATGATGAAAACTAATCCTCACACCATAGGTCACAACAACCTCCACTCTTGTGCATACATTAAAAAGGAACGATAGCCAGGCACCTTCTAGAATGTATAGATTCTTCTAATTCATTTGATCTTATCAATCTTTCTTAACTACTCCATTTATTTCTATATTTTCCTTTTTTAGGATAAATATCATTTTCATTAAAATTAACACTTTGGGTATTAGGTACTAAGGAGGAATGGTTAGTTAAAATGGAATTTCATTATTATTATAAATAGGCACTAAATATTAGCAAGTTAAAATGGAAAGTTGTATCCTTCCTTCATAAACTTAGAAATAGTAATTTCATAAATTGAATACCTGAAAAAACAAAAGGATTTGAATAAAAATAAATTCAGTTTCTCTTAAATTAAGGTGCTTAGAGATTTTTGAAAAGGCGATTGAAATAGAGTTCCAATATACCATAATAAATGAAGTAAAAATATTCGAATCAAAATTAGAGGAATGTTCATTACGCAAAAATTTAAAAGAGGGTAACATAAAATCATATTATTGAGCTAAATTCGATTCTAATACACCAATGCTTTTATTATGACTTATTAACAAGTTGATATAAAGCCAGGATCAATCACTTTGTATATAATATAATTCAGCAAGCAAGTTCAATTATGAAAAGAATAAGAACTGTTTGAAGCCCAAATTATATTGAATAATCACGAAATGTATCAGCTTATTCGAATGAACCTTAAGAGGTATTATTCAAAAAATTTCCTCTTTGATAAGCTCGATACTAGTTACCTTTTAATTGAGCAAGTAATGAAGCGTAATTAAAGATAATACCATGGTAACGATTTTTTAGAGCAATTGGATGTATAAGGCAAGCTTGATATATATGAAGCACACTAAGCGCTAGAAATAATGCATGGGGGCATTTAGCTTATCATATTTATGCAAATTGAGACAATATATGGTGATATATGTTTTAAAGAATTGTTTACCTTTTAGTAGTTACTAAAACTATACAAATTCCATTTAGATAAAAAACATTTATTGGCAAATTGCTATCTAATTTTTGAAGCGGTAGGACAAGACATTTATTAGAGGCTAATATAGCATAAATCAAATATAGACAATCCATCAGTCAAATTTGTGTTCATCAGTATGGCAGGTAAGCAAAAGAGTAATAATATCCAACTCAGATACACACGATATACTTGAAACTTTACATCTCCTGTATCTCTTATCAATAATAGGCTGTTCAAGTTTAGGAGTTTAGAAATGTTTACCAATTAAAACTAGAGGATTGGCAATATCAAGACCCAGCACCAGAACAACCAATGGTGCATTAAAATTAAATAAAACCATGAATTCTTTCATGAGGTTAAAACATGCCTAACAGGTATGTTGAGCCACATAAAGAATATATGAAGAACAATATAAATAAATTCCAACTGAATATTTGAGAATGTGAAAGCAATAAAACACTGAAAAAATTCATGCCATACTAAAAGCAATCTTCAATGTATCAAGTATATTTTATATAGAAATGTTAGCACATGATTTAAATTAGGAAAAAGGGTCTATATGTAAATCGTAACCAAATATTTTGAAAGTCAAATAATTAATTTTATTCAAATGGCAAAAGTAAGCTACAAAAGGAGGATGTACTTTCAATAGGGTACACTTGATAAGATTTAATGGTGTGAAGGAGAGGTATATAATATATAACACAAAATTATAGTTTGTTCAGCACTAAACACCCTTGAAAAAAAAAAAGAACGTGTTTTTATACTTTAGATACAACAAGCATGATTTTTAATAGTATCAAACTGTCAAGTACTACATGATTAACAATAACATTTATGCTATATCTTATTTAATAAGTAAAATATTATAGAGCAAGAATGAGGCAAGAAGCAAAAACACGATTGATTCAAATATTAGCAATCAATTAAGCTCAAAAAATAAAATAAGGGCAACTGAAAAAACTAAAATTGGAAAATGCACACAATAATAATTCAGTATAAAAAAAACCTGCGGGCCGGGGGCGGTGGGTCGACAAAAACAAAGCATAAGCAGATAGG